TGGCCTGGATTCACTATGGAGACCAGGCTGGCCTCGAACTCACAGAGATCACCTGCCTCTGCCTCAAACTTTAGGTTTTGCACATGCTAGACAAGTACTCTTACCAACTGAGCTACATCCCCAGCCTTTTTGTTCCTCCTCCTCCCTCCTCCCATTCCTCCCCCTTTCCTACTCTCTCTTCCTTTTAAAAAGAAATATACCATGAAGTTTTACTCATATTTTCAATTAAAATGTAATATTATAGTGTTTTATTTAATTTTATTTTCCTCTCCTAATCCTAAATACTTACCCTCTTTATTTTATACCTATTTATGAATATATAATAACTTCATAACTGTATCAATATTACAGCATGATTACTAAAAATAGTTTATAATTTCCTTGCTAGTTTCTTTTTCTTTAGGCTCTATGAGTATTTTGCTGTCTTTTGAAGTCATTTGAAATAATTACTGTTTGTATAGTTAAGGCCACTAATTTGATTTACTTTTAGTGTAATTGAATTGTTTTAAGAAGATTTTTTTTGTCTGTATTTTGATTTAATTTTGCTTGAATTAAACTGAAGCACATTATGTCATTGACAATATGGTTATTAAAAAGTTTCAGATTGTTTTGTATTTTTTTCTTTTAAGGTAAATCTCATGGGTATTTTATAGTGACTAAAGTAGCTTAAAATTTCTCAAAAAAAGACAAAAATAATAAATCTTGAAAAAAAATTCTCTCTAGTTAAATCACCAACTCAATTCATAGTTTCAGTTTCACTTTTCTTTGTATTTTAATAGTTCTTCCTCCATTTTGATGGAAATTTTTTGAATTCTGTAAAGTTTTCACATTTTCAAAATGAAATCTATAAAAATACATATTCAGAGAAATTATACTTGGATTCCTTACCTACTCTTTATAAGTGCTTTTTTTTTCTTGTTTAGTTTTTACTTTATGCTTAAAAAAGATATTTATTTGTATTTTCATCTTTGTTAGATGAATGGTAGTATATAATACACACTAGTTGATACTGTCTTCATTTTAGAAATGTGTGCTGTACTGATAAAGTACAACCTCCAAGGTCCTGTTAAGGTAAAAGTAAACGAGCAGAGTGAAAGCAAGCTGTGTAGTTTTGTGTTTTTATACTGGCTTAGTATTTTATACTGTGGATGTTCACGTAGCTGGTGTTACATTGATGGTTTTTTTGGGTTGCTCCCAGTCTTTTGGGTTAATTAATAGCACTGCGTGTATGTAGTTTTTTGTATTTCCTAGGAATAGATGGCAGTTTAGTTTCTGAAAGTATCATCCATAGAGTTATCACATTTGCTTTGTCTTACTGGTTATAGAGAAAAACTAAATAAATGTTTTCATCAGATAAACTCAAGAATTACTGATAAACCTATATTCATTGCTAATGTTCAGTTACTTGATTAAAACAATAAATAAAAATATTTACAGGTGATATTTTTAATGATCAGCTCTCTGGGGTAAGTATTTATTAAAAAATCCAAGCCAGTAACCTAAGGATTTTTTTGTTTTGTTTTATGGTGGTCTAATGACCACACAGTTGAATTTTTGTTTATTAATGTACAGAAAATGCTAAAACCTGAAAGACATTTCATTAAAAACCAAAACGATTTTCTTTTTTTTATTTGTTCATACTTCGAAAATTCTATAGAGGGGCCTTCCACTCTTATGTCTTCTTCCATGGCCGTTAAACATTAAGAGTATAGCCTGTATACTTCATTGTGGAAGTATTTCACTTGTATGCCTTTAATATTTTTTTAAACAGGCAGTATAACTCCAACTGTGGAACTGAATGGGCTTGCTATGAAAAGGGGAGAGCCTGCCATCTACAGGCCACTGGATCCAAAGCCATTCCCCAATTATAGAGCTAATTACAACTTTCGGGGCATGTACAATCAGAGGTCTGTATGTCTTCTTTGGTTTTGTTCTTATTTACTATTTTATGTATATTGTAAAAGTTTTTGAAATCCTAAGACTGTTTTAATTGTAAACACAATGGAGCTTAAGCATTTTTCAGAATTTAAAGTTTTTAAAGTTAAAAACAAAACTAAAACAAAACCCCTGCAGTTTTCAGGAGTCCGTTTTGATTGGATCATGAGCTCCCTGGGTTTGCCACAGACAGGATCTAGTCTTTATGGTCAGTGCAGAATTTATGCTGGCGACTTTCTCATTCTTTGGCCATGCACAGCTTAGTGTTTTTCCTGTTTTGTTTGAATACATTAATGAATTTGAGTGTTTGTAATTTATAGGAAACTTATTAGAGAAAGGAAGGATTTATTCTTTTTTGCATGTTTCATAGTTGAGATAGTTAAAAGTATAAATTATGAACCAAGCATGGCAGGAGTTTCAAAACACAATTTAGATCCCCTTATCATAGAAGTTATGTACTCATTATACAATAGGAATGTGAAGAATGCCACTAGGTAAAGAAATATTGATATTTAAGAAATACATATATAAACTAAGAAATAGAAATTAGCCATCTCTAATATTTTGATGTTTTAAATTCTTCTTTGAATATAAATATATTTAACTGAATTGAACTTGTTCTTTATATCCCATAATAAAATGTGCAGATGCTAAGTGATGACTTTATCCTGTACTCATTGGCTTTTAACATATGTATGTTTTATGTGATCACCATTCAGATCAAAACATAGAACTTTCCCATTTTAGGCAGAGGGTTTCCTCACACCTCAGTGCTCATGACACCCCCTTTCCCCAGAAGTAACCAGTATTCTGTCCTCACAGATTAACTTACCTGTTGTAGTACTTCATATAAAGTGACTCAGTGTTCGTTCTGTGTTTGACTTCTTTCACTGTATGTGATGGTTTTCTTGCTTTGCTTGTTTTGAGATACATCAGTGTTATATCTGGATTTTGTCTTCTTTTTTGCTCAGTAGTGTTCCATTGTTATAGCTGTATCGTACTTTGTTCATCCTCATGAACCATGAACATAGTACCATGTGTACTATGGTGTCCTTTTGCACTTAATATAGTCACCATTTATTATATCAATAGTCTTTGAGAAACATTTTTGCTGCCTACAAGATGCCTCCGGTAGCTAAGGTATATGTTACAATTGCATGCCTTATTTTTCATCCTGGCTTTTTCTACTTTCCTCCCTTGGACTATTATGAGATAAATGCTGGAGTAAATAGCATTATGCAATTTTTTTTGTCATATTTATTTAAAAATATTTTTTACAGTACACTCTATTTCCTGAAGTAGATTATTATAAGCGAAATATCAGAGTTAAGAGTAATATATTACTCAGCTACATTCAAGTTTGTTCTAATTTCTTACAGCATGTGAAACTAATTTTTAAATGATATGACAGCTTTGAGTTTAAAACACATTGTCTTGCTTAATAGTTAAAAAGTAGAATTTAAAAACTTTCAGTGGCATTTACTATTAGTGAACAGTTTTTAAGATGTTCATGATTTATATATCCATCTTACTTGTCTGTTATAATTCATTTATTTTTAGAGCACTGACTAACCAGTTTTCAGATGTTTGTGTTAGTATTAACATTCTATCTTATTTGCTGTGCTTTTCCTGCTTAAAGTTTGGCTTTAAATTTTGTCATAGTTTTGTAAGATCTAATTTTTTTATATTTAAAGTAAAATTTGATGTTTTGTGTATAAGAAATTGATTTCTATACATAAGATGTTTGCTAATGCTTTATATATCGATAGTTTAACTCATGTGCAGAGAACATAGTCTGTTTATAACCTGATAAATTTCAGTATCTTGTTTTTTTAGTAGAAAACTAACTCTGTCCATTTAAAGCAGTACTATTCAAACTATGACTAGTTCCTTTAGGCATTGTAGCTATGTAAAACTGCATAATCACCTGCAGTCACTCTCCCTTTCCTCTTGTGTTACCTCAGGAATTTACTGTATTCGAGGAAGGGCACACCTCCTAGTAGTTATCTTTTGGTGACTGTTCTTTGAGGGCTCCTTGCCCACCTAGTGTTGAAACCTTTACTGATAATTTCTAGCTCATTTTCCCCTTGGATAATGCTTTCAGAGGCTTCCCATCTCCCTCTTTGTAACTTCGTCCCAACCCTCAGCTTTTCTTGGCTTCCTGTCTCTTGGTCCATTCCTGTCCTATTCTGTAGCGTCTCTGCTTCTTTCTGTGCAGCATCCAGCATAGGCTTTGTGGCTCTCAGCTCAACACATAGGAGGCATGGGGGATAATACTTTTCTTATAGTTGTTTTGCCTTCTCTCTTTTTTTGGGGGGAGGGCATGATACATCTGTTATCTTTCTTTTAGGCTGAGGTTCTCTAATGGAAGTAAAGCTAGTTGTCCACATCATCTCAGTATGTATGTTTAGCTGCCTGATTAAGAAACACCTGACCTATTTTATACTTGCAATATATTTCATTTTTAATTTTTCCCTTTTTTGTTTGTTTTTTGAGATAAGAGTCTTGTGATATAGCCTAGGCTGACCATGTACTCTCTATGTAGCCCAGGGTGGGCTATATACTTGGCATTCTTCCTGCATCCTCCTGAGTGCTGGTATTATAGGCTTGTGCCACCACACTCAGCTCATAGTTTTCCCTTCTTAGTAGCATGTGCTAATTGTATAAAATAATGGATTTCATTCTGACATTTTTATATGTGTGTATAATATAATTTGGTCATTGCTCGCTCTTCTTCCCCTTGTCCTATTTCTGATCTCATTTCTCTTCCCAAAGAATCCTCTTTCTACTTTTATGTCTTAATAAAATTTCAGTATAGATTCTGCATATGAGAGAAAACATATATTTCTGTTTCTGAGTCTGCCCATTTCACTTAACATGGTGATCTCCAGTTCCATCATTTTCCTGTAAATAATGTGTTTATTCTTCTTTGTGGTTGACTAAAACTCCATTGTGTAACATATACCATATTTCTCATGGCAGTTGGTTCTATATCTTGCTTATTGTGAATAATATAGCAGTAAACATGGATGTTCAGGTATCTCTGTGATTTGTTGACTTACATTTCTTTGGGTATATTCCCAAGAGTGGTATTGCAGGACCATATAAAGCTTTGTTTTTTTTTTTTTCTGAGGAACCTTTCCACTGATTTCCATACTGGCTAGACCAATATATTTTCTTCTTATTGTATTATAATGAGTAGATCCATGACAGTATTATTATATTTTGATATCTATGGTTATTCACTGAAATTTTGCTTTTTTTTTGAGACAAGGTTTCATGGCTCTGGCCGGCCTGGAACTCTCTATGTAGACCAGGCTGGCCTCAAACTTAAGAGATCCTCCTGCTGGGATTAAAGGCATGTACTACCATGCCTGAGAAATTTTGCTAAATTTTAACCATGAATTTATTATTTTTAAAATAAGAGAAATATGGTGCTAGAGCAGTGAAATAGATAGTAATCCTGGCCCTTCATGGAGTTCCTGTTCCAGTGGAGGAGACAGTCAGTGAGCAGGAGGTGGCCAGTCACTGAGGAGGTGCCATTTGACAAAGTCCTAAGGAACAGAAGGAGACAAAACAAACAAAGGAAACGGGGGAATGGAGACTGAATGAGAATACCCTGCAGTGGGCAGCTGGCAGCGGGATGCATCTGAAGCAGGGCAGCAGGACAGTATGCTGCTGCCTTGACCAGGAGGCTGCGTGTCTGGACCAGAGAGCACCAAGCGGAGGATGTCTACTTCAAGTCAGAAGTGCCTGCATGGGCAAGAGTTATGAGATAAAATTTGATTTGCTTTGATTTTTTTTTTTTTCTTTTCTAGATTTTTTAAGTATGCTGACTTTTTTCCTCCCATGGCAGTTTTTAATTCTGAGATCTGGTTTGTGTTTGCCCTGAGGGGTACAAGAATTTTACTTACAAATTCCCTAAAGGTTCATTCCTATTAATGGATAAGGTACACTTTGCTTTCACATTTCTGGAGTCTTTATGATTTTCTGCAGATAACAAAAAGGGTAAAAAGAAAATAGGCAAGTACTAACCAAGCTACTAAGCCACATTTCAGTGTTTTCATCTCACAACAGACTGGCCTAATTAGTATTCAATAGGCTACTAAAATTACTTTTTCACATATGACTTTAATTGGCCAGTGACAGCACTGGAAGGTAATACAGGAAATTTGAAGTAATAGGTCAGAAGTGGTTCACATTTTCTTGTTAGAGTCCAAATTAATTGCTAGCTGCTTAAGGCAGGGAATGAAGGGTTAGGTCTGAGAAAAGATATCATTTAGAGGGAGTTTTGAAAAAGTCCTCTCATTTTCTACTTTCTCTGCTTGCTTTTTTATTTTTAATAAATTTTTTGATTTATTTATTTTATGTTTGAGTGTATTGCCTACATGTATGTAAGTATACCTGTGTTGTTCAGTGCCCGCAGAGATCAGAAGAGCATGTTGGATCCCTTGAACTAGAGTTACAGACTGTTAGCTGCTGTGTGGGTGCTGGGAATCAACCCAGGTCCTCTGGAAGAGCAGCCAGTGTTCTTAACTGCTGAGCCATCTCTCCAGCTTCGCTTGAGCTTATTGAGAGGACTTAAGAACGTTGTTTTCCCCTGCTGTTTTATGATGAGCAGAGAGAAAAGATTTGCCCATGTGCAAACTCCGTGGACATAATCTGGATTCTGAAGTTCTTGTTCCCTTTTGTTAACACTAAAGGTGCTTGACAATGGGTGTACCCACTTGCGTTGTTTTTCTTCCTTGTTTGAGGCACTGTGTTACTTTATAGCATAGACTATGTTATAAAGTAGAAAGCATTGAAAGTTCAAATCACAGAGTAGAATCTGGTATGTCCAACCTGCATCTCAAGTGTGTGCATCCTAGGGATAGCTATGAATGTCACCCAACACATTTGTAGATGACAATGTTGTAGTGTCAAAGTGTCAAAAGACTGGTCACCCATAGAAAGGTGAAGATTTTATGCATGT